ACGCAATAGCGATGGCCTCCACCTAGTAGCTTCTTGTTCCTAGTAGCGATGGCCTCCAACGTAATAGCGATGGCCTCCACCTAGTAGCTTCTTGTTCCTCGTAGCGATGGCCTCCAACCTAATAGCCATGGCCTCCACCTAGTAGCTTCTCGTCACTAGTAGCTTCTTGTTCCTAGTAGCGATGGCCTCCAACCTTCTACGGATGGCCTCCACCTAATAGCGTCATTCTTGGGGCATCATTATGGGGGTGTTCTTTCGTGTCAACTGAACTCCATCTGCTAAGTTTATGACAATGCAAAAGGCATGTAGCAAATACCTGTCTCTTCTGACCTGTGTAAAGCATGATTGTTCTCTTCCGATTTATGGTTAGACTTGGTTAGACTCAAGACTTACAGTAAATGAATCAACCTGATTTCATTCTGTGACCCGAAGCTATCCACATACAGCATCTGCCGTGCTCCCTTCACCCTGTGCACGAACAATGGGAGCACATACAAATACGTGCGAGTCAATCACAGCAAACGGCTACCACGTCCTTGTCCACCAGTCTGTAACCATTCATCTACATGCAACAACCCTTTGAACATGAAACCCTTTGTTGTATCTCTTGAAACCTCTTGATATCTTTTCCTACAGTCTTGGCATCCCTGTGTTCTTCTTTGTGTCGCGGTCCCACCACCCACCTCTTCCGCCAATGTCTGCCGGGCTCCCCAGAAGATCCGCGCATTGGTGGAGGAACGACTGCCTCGGAACGCCAAGACATCGGTTCAACCAGGCCACGAGGCACCCCGAAGCGCTGCTGAAAGGTGATGAGCGTCAAAATAGATGCTAACAAGCTGCCCAAGTATGCGCTGCGAACCACTCCAGATGTGGTTCTGGTGGCCCCCAACCTTGGAAGACCTCGACCCGCCCCCCACACCGGGCCACCCGAACCCATCGTCCTCGACTCCGATCAAGTCTGGAAGCTCCTCGCATCGAGCGTCCAGTTCGACATAGGACGGACCCTTATGGTGGAAGTTCCTGAGGGGATACCTAGCTTTTTTACTTCCAAACATATGGAAAGCAAACATAAGATCTTGAAATTTGACTGCCATCAACCGGTCCGTTCCAGGAATTTGCCGAAAACATGGCCTTCCGGGCTCTCCAAACGCTTCAATGCCCTTGTTACCAGTAGCTTCTTGCTACTAGTAGTAATGCCCTTGTTACTAGTAGCGATGCCCATGTTACTAGTTTCTAGCTACTAGTAGTAGTGAACAATGAACCATGAATTACACTTCCACAACATGCTACCAGTAGAGACCGCTAGAGACTCCTCAGTTCTAAACCACCAGTGGCACATTATACAAGTCCTTCATCTAACTTCCAGCAACCGTCAAAATCCAAGGGGGACCAGTGGACCGTGCATTTTGCATTGAATACGACTGATTAGCATCGTTGTGGGGCGCACAAAAGCCAAGAGTCAAACCCTCACAACATGTGAGGCTGGCATTGCAGCTGATCTCCATCTTTCCACAAGCATGCCCAACACCAACTGCCATCAATGTCTATTCCTTCAACTGGTAATTAGATGATTTATAGGCTGGGGCCCTTTGAAAAACAGCTGAAACCCTCATATAGATCTGCCCGGCACAAGCTGGTACAAGGTTTAGCCATTGAGTTCCTTCAGCTGCTGCGCAACTGCATCTGTGTCCAGGTTAGTCACAGCCGCACGAAGCACCTAAGAGAAGACTTGCAAAAGAAGCATCAGATTGGAGGAGCTTGACTCTGACACCTGATTGCTCTCACAATGCATGTGCTTGACTGCAGTGGTTTCGCTTGAAAGGTCTGACTCTGACAATGGTTGGACCCGGTTAGATTTGGCACATGGTGGACGTGAAGGGGTTAGACTCCATGATGTTGGACGCTTCTTTTGAAACATAGTTCAAACATGTTCAGACATGCTTGGCCAATCTGCAAACAAATTACAATTTTTCTGAGACATCTAGGGGAAATATGTTTATGACATTTTATTTACGAATATGCTACTCTCAACTCATCAGGGAAGACCTGCAGCACCTCTGGCAGTGGACCTCTCTCCTACCTATTCCACTACACCCCCTCCAAGAATCATGCAAGTGGAAAATGGCTTCTTGGAAGATATCTGTCCTGTGCCAATCAGGTTGAGTTCATTTTCACTTACAGTGTACATTAATCTATATATAATAATATGATTGTTGGGTAGACGGTTTTACTGCCTTGGTTCATGCCAAGTCGTGTAGGATTTCCTCGCCTCCATGAATGCACCACCACCATGTGGTGCGTGCAGTCACGCCTTAACGCTCCTGTGCACCATGGCGTTCTTCCACGGTTCCGGTCTGTGGTGTTCTACGTAGTTAGTGCAAGTACAAGTTAGGATGTCAGCCGATGTTGATCCTACCGTATAGTTCATGTCTGATGATGACTGGCGTGAATCCTCTTGAAAGTCATGTATCTTGTTGCCCGTTTGAACTGTGCTGCAGCTCAATTGATTGAAGGTCATGCCTTTCTCTGTTCACCAACACCAACTGCCTGTTCAACGGCAGCGGAGAAGCAACTTTCAGCATCTTCATTCTCCAATGACTTGATCTTACCCAAACAGCTTCTAAAGGATCTATAAACTGCTACTTGGATGGTTAGGTTGAGCATTTTGAAGAAAACATGGGCCCTGACCGGCATACCTCAAGAAAAGAAAAACACTGTCATTTGCTAGTGGTTTTAGGTGCTGGTGCAGCTAGTTGTCTACGAGGGTGGTAATCTGTCATCACTTCTTGATATCACTTGAACTCTAAAAAGGGTATTCTCAGCTGTTTGGGTTGAAACCGGTGGCCATAGCGTGCTGAGCCCTGCAAGTAACCATGCGAAAGGGCGCTTTTTGGTTCCTACACAGGACCTGGCACTCAGCAACAATGTTCCACAGCACCAAGATCATCTGATTTTGGACAGAGTTCCTGGAAGACGCCGGCTCCGGAGCCTTAGAAAGTCTGGCCAGGCTTGTCACTTTGTACATCATCTTCCTCAGGGTGGCCCTTTAGAAGTCAAAGTCAGGATATTGTATCCCAGAAGACAACATGTGAGTAGTCACTCACAGCTACGTATACTCACGTCATCTTTGCCGGTCCTTTTTCTTTAGACATCTTCATTCGATCGCTTCGGGGCCACCCTGTTCTTGTATTCTCACTTTAATCATTCTTGTTCTTCGTCCTTCGAGCGCTGCACAGCGGCGGCCCTGCTCGACGCTGGTAGGGTTCTGTGTTCTTCTCAAGGGCTTTTGACATCTGGGCTGGACTTGTTTGCTTCTGCTTCCCTCCAGTCAGCCGGTGTTTGTCCACAAGAATGCTGGATCAACCGGACATAAGTCAGTACACTTCATGGAACTGCTACATAACTACATCCAGAGGGAAATGCAGGCTGCTGGTCCTCAATGGCAAGTTCGACATGCTCACGCTTGCACTCCTCGCAAGGATGACATTCCGAAGAGCTGTTCAAGAAAACTTGCTATGACCAGCTATGGTGACAATAATTCTGTTGCTGCTCCAACTCCCACCACCATGGTAAATGCTCATGGCAAGATTGCAACGCTCCAGCAACACCATAATATCATTGCAGGAACACCCCCCCCATAGACGTCCTCCAGCATGGCTTGACTTACTTGCCACGGTTTCATTTGCGTAAAGACCTGGCCGAGTATAGTCCCTTGTCAAGAGGATTTGGAACATGATCTAATTACACTAGGTGGGGGCTATGTTTCCAACTGCCGGAGGGGTTTCCAACCTCTGGTAGAAACGAATAAGGTCGACTCCTTTCGCCACATGTTCACGTCTGAGAAGGCGATGTGGGTGGCGGCGAATATCCGAAACATCGATCGCTGCATATCGTTGCAAATGTCTCTGATCTCTCGCTGGGTGACGGAAAGCTCCCAAGTAACGACCCTGAATATGGCTGTTCAAAGCGTCGTGGGGTTTTCATGTTCTCCAAAATCTGCCTTGACCCTCGACGAGATACTGTAGGTCTTCTATGAGTGCAGAAGGTCTGCTCACACTCCTCACACTCCTTGATCCGCGCTTCGGCCTCGTCCCAACGGCCCCGACTGCTAGGAGCTTTGACCAGCCCCAGCTTCAAGACCGGATGTTCCTCGCAGACCGATTCGAGTGAGAGATAGGCAGTCCAGGTTGGCAATTCACTTGGAAACCCTAAAAGGACACTCAATGTTCAAAGCTCACAGGAATATTGAGGTCTCAAGAATCACTGTCACTTCAAGATCCAGGCACTGGCGGCTAAATTTTGCTTAGTCCTCTCCATCTGTAGCGTCCATGAAAATCTCCATGGAGGCAGAATGAGGAACACATGCACCGCCCAGCACACCCCAACCTCAAGCTGCACACATAGCTCACACACGGCGAACATCAGGGCATCTCCGGGTCAATCGCAGGTCAACTCTTCAACCCAACAAAATAAATTGACATACATACATACATACATACATACTGTACTACCTTCTGAGATTGAACCATTTAGAACCCCACAAAAAACATCTCAACAAACCAGTGGATCCCTGCTTGCACATTTGTTCAATTCGACTATATAGTCCTAAAGAGTTTCATCTTATTGTAGTCGGAGCACAACTATATAGTACCGTAGTTACAGTAGTCCTGTTTAAATTTGGAGAATTTTGGGGTCACTCACTATGTTGCAAAATCAGGGACTTTGCCAACACATCCATAACAAGCCAACAATTGAACATGGTTCTCAACGTTCCCAAGCAGGTTGTTGTTCCGTGTTGCGTCATTGACCCGTCCTTGGTCGACATACTGAACCTATTGAGACACGGCACACATGGCATATTCGCTGTCGGCCACAAAGTTCAGCTGTACATTTCGTTCACCAATCTGCGATCGGACACCGACGGCCGCTACCTATTCCATCCAAAAGCGCTTTGGGAGGATTTGCCTTGCACTAAACACACCAGAAATGTCCAGGGGGTCAGAGTGATGAACATGCAGCCAATCGTCACCAAATGACAACCTGTGAACGGCACTTTTTTCAGATGTTTCAGCGAACGAACAGGAGAGGCCATTGGCATTGCACACATTGCTGCTGAGTTGGACCTCGGGATCGAAGTAGCATGCTGGTCATGGATCGAAGCAGTTGGCAAACGGCGACAGGATTGCTCAAACATGTTCAACACTGTGACAAGTCGAGGGAGACTGCTCCAGCATGTACTTTACATGACGTGAATGTTGTGTCAGGTTCTGGACTGATCACCACTAACTACAGTAATGAAGGCTAAACGGAGGGTGTGTGGAGAAAGAGGGTCAGCAAAAATCGCTTATACGAAGTTAGTGCATCAAAAATACCTTCCACGAAGTTCTGCGAAGGTTTCTGGGATTTCGTTGCAGTCAGTTCTCCTACTGGCCCACCATTCCACGAACTGTCCACGAACAGCCTTGGGTTCTACGAAGGTCACGCGCCTTCCACGACGTTAGTAGAATAGGTTTTTGCAAAACCCTGTCTGTGCACTACCCTTCTGTTTGCCTTTGAAGTAAGTCTCAGCTCAGGCAAAGGGACTCTCCATGTAGAACATCACATGGGAGGACATTCCATTCAGGGCTATCCGCTTCTGGTGGCTTTCCAAGAACAGCTTCAATCAGCTTCTTGTCCTTCGCGCTCAGCTCGTGCTTCCTGACATTTGGCCCGGAGAAGCCACACTTGGCCGACTCTGACAGAAGCGTTGGTTTGTCACACATGCATGTCGGTATATGATACAAGCATGCCGAAGAACGCAACATGACTGTGGAATGGCTCGGGTACCCTTAGCTGATGGCTCGCAAATGATGCCACAAATTCGCTGTTGTAATCCGGACATATTCGCCCACAGAAGCCATGCTTCTTAGCTCTGAGTCGAGGCGAGCTGCATGGTGTGTACAACAATGGACAACATGTGTACAAATCTACGGAACGGAGACCCAAATGGCATGGTGCAAATGTCTTATTCTTTTCCAAGTTCAAAGCCATGCTGATGAATGCAGGTCTGCCAGCATATTAATAATACCCGTGTGTACTCCAGGGGGACCTGGACTCCTAGAAAAAATAGAAATTTCCTAGGAAAATTTAATTCGCGAGATTTATTAAGTCCGGTTGGCCAGGTCCATGCTTCAAAATTTAGGTTCTATAAAATCCTATCACTGGGACATTAAACTCCCTGGGGAAACACTCGTAGATCTTGGCGGATTCCTGGTCACGTCCTCCCCGGGGATTGGGGCACCATAGATTTATGAATTCCTTGCGCCCACCAAAACACTAACAATTCCACACAGAAAAATATAAGAAAAGCTGTCTTGTCCATCCATGGAAATCCATCGCAGAGCATGCAGAGCTGACTTTTTTCCGGCGTGCTCATGCAGTGTCGTTCATCATCCGAGATCCTTTGGGGATCTCGGACAGCAGCTTGAAAAAACCATGCTTTCTTGCAGGCTTCTCCATCAAAGCACGCTTGATGTCCTCCAGGTACTTGAAGATCAGCGCTGACCTGTCGCCCTTCTTCGCATGACCAAAGTAGCTCGAGAAGAACTCTGATCTCTTCACTGTGTCCTCCCAAGCCACTCCTGTGCTTTTGACATTGCCATGCTCGTCGAAGATGTTCTGCAGGGGAAAGCTTAACCTGTACAGGTTCAGCAAATCCTCCATGCAACGCTGAATGTTGCGACCTCCAGCTTTGCTTGCGCCAAACGACGAAGGCATGAACTGGAAAGCCTTGCTTTGCGCAGCGACCTCATCGGCATCGGTGGTCTGCTGCGTTCTCTTTCTGCCTGGTTTCTTCTCGCCGCTGAGGATCATGTCCATTAATTCTGAGCTGCCCTGAGCTTCCTGCATGGCGATCTTGTCATCATCACTCAACGCCACACGCATTCCATCCAAGCCAGCCAAACATTCCCTGACCGTCAGCTTTGCGATGAACCTGCTTTGGTTGACCAGCATGCACCCAGAAAAGGAATTGCATCCGTACCACGCCTCCTCCTCCTCGCCGTCTGCAATGCGCCGGAGCGGCACCATGCGGATTTTGGCCACTGCTTCAAAGGGAACAGGAAAGCTGGTGAGTCTACATCCCTGCTTCCCAAAGCGGAACACACTCAAAGCACACCTCAATGTGACTTGGTTCCTTTCCACTGGTGGCGTACAACATGATGGAACCCACCTCCAACGAGACCTTTGTTGGAGCCGGGAGGGCCGCATTCATATTCATCCACGCATTCACCCTGGACGTGCGGGAAGCCGAAACTCCTGCTATCCGCCTCATGACCTTAGCACAGAGTGAAATGAAATATGTGATATATGTGAAGCTTATAAAATCCTGAAATTTGATATAGCGTACAAAATGTGACGTTTATAAAATCTTGCGCGTGCTCAACATCCAAGCCACTGAGCACTCATGTTCGGCAATTTGATGCCATGACAGATTGTCGGATCGAACCCTGGACCCACGATGGTTCTTCAACCAAGCCTTGTCAGCAGGCACTCTCAAATTGCACAACAGCTGCCACATTGGACCCCACAACGGTTCTATGTCCTGGTGAGCCACACCTCCAGAGACAATGTCGAAGAATTTCGAAAGTGTCCGACAACTGCCAAGCCTTCCAAGCATGGATTTGGAAGAATCAAACTGCACTGCATCCTCCGGGATCTCAAAAAGTGCTTGAAGGTCTTTACTCCCTGGGGCAGCATCTTCCTGTGGCGGATCTGAATGCTTCACCTCATTGTCTTCATCTTGGATCCTCTTCTCCATGTCCTGGATGCGTCGCAGCATCTCCAAGCATTGATCCGTTGATTCAGACTGGGCTATTGGTGGCACAATGTCCTCATCATCATTGCCATCATCATTTCCGTCAAAGTCTTGGAAGTGATCGCCGCCATCTTCACAGTCATCTTCACTCAGGCTACCTCCAGCAAGAGTCCACACAACAATGGAACACCTACAAAACAAAGGCTTCGAGATCTTCGCTAATTACAAAATCCTGTTTGTTCTGTTAAAAGTGGTATCCAATTATAAAATCCTGTTCCTAGCAGTGCTGTGTCACGTCCAACATACAACTTTAGGCATTGAGCCAGCCTTCTTCTGCCAGCCTTCTTTACAGTGATTTTCATGACTGTACAGGACAACATAGCATGGCCCAATGCCTGATGATTCAGCACGATCTTTCTGGCTGCAGGTCTGACACAGAGAGTTTGCTAGTGGAGGCCTTCGCTCTTAGGTTGGAGGCTAGTCCTCTTCACCGTCCGAAAAAAACGAAAATCAGCACCGCCCTGCCCCCCCAACTTTAGCCGTCTGGTTTGCCAGTATAAATTTATAAAATCCTAAAACAAGGTATTGTTCCAGGAATCTGCAATGGAATCACCACTAGGACTTTATTAAAAAAACATACTTTTATAAAATCCTGTTTGATGAAATCATGTTACGAATATGAAACAGTTATGAAGTCCTGCTTGCCAGGTCCATGTGCCATGGTAGGGGGACCTATTGTTTTTATATATAGTTGTGGCCCAGGTCCAGGAAAAAATAGTTGGATTCCAGACGGGTATATTAATATGACAAGCTCTGGGCATTGAGGCAAGAACGACATGGACACTGAGTTGTAGGATTTCTGATGATTTCTGACCAGTTTCTCGGAACAAAGTCAGTCCTGCACCACTAGATGTAAAAGAATTGGCTTCTTATAGAACCACATGGAAAGGGCTGATCCCCAAGTTTCTGACCACCGCCAATCGAAAAGGGGGACCTCGGTTCTGATGTCTCGAGTCTCCATCCTGCCTGTGATCCGTCACAGCCTCAGTCCCGCTGGCCGAAGCCATGAATCCCATGGCGCGCGAGGAAAAACACATCGAGACGCGCGTCATGTCAAATGTCGCCCAGAGGTGCAATCAAATTGCACAAGATTGGAACCATAAAACTGATTAGCACACAGCACCAACTCCAAATAAATAACAGCAGTTTACAGCAGTAGCATCACCTTCTAAGTAATGTAGCCCCCTTGCAAAGAGACAGACATGTGCAGTCCGCCCCAGCTCATTGCTCAAAACTGTAACTATAATCATCATCAAATATAAATATACAGGAATATATCATCAAATATCCTACTGTTACGAGTTTGCTTATCTGCAGCATGCGCTTTTTGTATTTATATATATATATACATCCAGCTAGCCCAGCCCAGAAGCGGCGGTGAACCAGCCGTGTGGGCCATGTTGTCGAAGCTGATCACGGATCGCTGCTTCATAGCTGCGGATCTCATCGTGCCTGGGAAAACTGGGTAGATCTCGGTGTAACATGGGAAACAACAAACTGGTATACGAGCTGTGGAACTGTAGCAACACTAGTCCTGCAAAACAATTTTTTGCAGCTGGACCCTGCGAGACCCTGACCCACCAAATCCTCAGGACAAAAACGACTTCCGGTGAGTACCTTACTTTGATGAAAAACCTCTCAGGTTTCATGATGTTCCATCTCCTGGACAAAATATAAGAACTGAAAAGTTCACATCTCAAAATAAGGGACATAAGACATAAGGGATCTATATAAGCCGGTCTCCTGATTTGACAAATCTACAGTGGATCATCTCTCCTGTCTGCTAAGAACTCGATCTTGGAGTCTTTGCTGCACCAGGTACCGCTGTGCGGCAGCATAGCAGCACGTGTCATCCTCATGGAAGATCTGCAGCAAACTTCGATTTGACTCCAATGCTGCCAGCATGAACTGGCCTGGGTCCGGCTACTGCAGTAGCACCAAGGAAAGCGCAAGAAACATGGTTCTGACGTTATTATTTCAATCACTGAGAAAAACATTTGTAATATACTGCCATGATTCACTTGTAGTTGCAAACTTTGCAATACTGACGTCCAGGATCTTTCCGCCAGCCGTATCCAACGTGCCTTTGTCTCACATGCGTTCGTGCATCTTGCTGTGAATCAACACTGCCATGCCAATTCTTAGCATTTGGCACCTATCAGCGAGTCCCCTTGAGAAAGCTTATAGCTGATCTGGCTTGGTTCAGGGGTTCTTATCCGCAAATCCAAACTGCAAAGGCCCTCACCATCTCTCTCCCCTTTTGCACACTCAAATCGAATGGATTGATTAAAGGGTGGCGGTGATCTATGATCTAGATCTATAGATGATCTACTCAGCTCCTAAAAATACCAACGGTGGCATCTCAAACTGCCACACAGGCCTGGCACCCTTGCGGAATGGATAAGGTGGCAAATTGCAGATCTGCTCGTAGTCACCTTAGCGATTCACACGCTCAATTAAACTGGGATAATCATCATCTGCTATGCTTGCCAAAAATGCATGATGTCCAACCATGGCGCATTGGCAAATGCTTACAAATAGTCCAAAGTGAGGCGAGCAAGCGACTGCAGGCCATTGCTACGCTTTTACTGTGAATCTATGCAATGGTAACGTTTCCCAGTAGTGGAAACGACACTAAAGAACATATCTTACTTGCATGAAAGACCTCGGCCGGATTCCTTTTGCTTTTGCTGTTTTGCAAAAGGCCTTGCCGTCTTTTTTAAATACACGCCAAGCTGCCAATGTCGCCAGTGGCTTGCAAAGAGGTGGAAAACCGCATGCTGTAGGGCATAGCACCTCATCTGAATCTTGATACATCTTGATATTCCACACAACAAGCCAAATGGCTGAGTGAAGAGATGATTGCCTTTAAGATCCTTTAAGCATCTTCAAACCACACTGTCTATCCGTTACATCAGCTATAAATGACTGCTGCCACCAGGTGGGCGCTGATACATGTATATCGTATTGTACGCCGTACTCGAGCTCCAATTTCCACACCAAACGAGTGGGTGTTGAGTTTGGGCGTCCCCTTTGCAGAGTCGAGGCCCATGGACCCGCCTGCTACCTGGACGGAGATGCGAATGCGTGGATCCATGGCTGCGACCATGGAAGTGGTCCATGCACCGCCCGACAAGCCCGCCAAATGGACCTCCTCGCCAGCGAAAAGGAGGAGTTGGATGGGCAGGCTTCAGTTGAGCCTGTTGTGGGCCAAGGCCAAACTTGCAAAAGATATGATGATATCAGAGATGGCTTTGGCAAGGTTTGGGATGCGTCTGTCCACTTATGGAAACCAGTGGTGAATCCCTTTAATGCGCCCTTTCCTGTATAGTGCTACCGCCGAATTGTTCGAGATTTGTTGGGGCCGGGGCCATCTGGACTTGTTCCTGCAAAGAATCGCCTTCTGTTTTTGCGGCGCTCCCTCAAACCCAAGTCCTCAATCAAAACTGTAACTTATAGAGTAAACGCTCAAACGTCATGAATACATATGAATGCTCATTAATTCAGGTGCAGGAGAAGGCTCCACAAGATCAAAGCAAAACACATAAATATATATATATACGTATACTGATGACTAAGGAGTTGGCGGAAGTATCTCAAAAATCATGAGTCCTATCTCATGTGGAAAAGTGCATTTGGGCCATTATTTCATACATAACTCCTAGCTCATGAGCCTGAGGCAGTGAAAACATGATTTCAACATGAGCTTTGTAGAGTGTGTTTCTTTAGCATGCTTTGGAGCACTTTGGAGAGGTTTTGGTGGATGACAACGCATGAGGTAGGAGTTGTGAGGCCTATGATGGACTCGACATGGTTGGCGGTGGACAAACGCCACGATTTTGAATGGTTTTGATGGAATGTCAACGGGATGTGCCATGTGCATGCCGGCAATTGAAACCTTGTGTCCGAAACGTGTCCAGACCTTTGTGAGATGGGACTTGCATGCAGGGTTGCCCTGTGTGTTTCCTATCTCTTCAGTCTCTGTAGAGCATGCCCATCATCCCAGCACACATGAGTTGAGACGTTCCCCAGGCAAGTGCTAACTCATCAGATCACCAAACTCCTAACTCATCTGCACAGAGTATAACTATTCAGCTAAATTAGCATCTTACTACAATACCCGAGGTTGCCTAGTGTTCAGCCCACCTGAGTTGAACCCAACTCACCACTATTCATTCTGAGACCGTTTCAATGATCTGGATATCCTCTAACCGCCTCCCTTCCGCCTCCCTTCGAAGAAACCCTCCTATGGTCCCCAGGAACCCTGGTCACGCCTTCTCTCTTCCGACCAGTCCTGGAACCCTAGGCTCAAAGCATAGTTGATGCTGAGAACCACTGGCTCACAGAAGTATCCTTGGGCACTTCTTCGCTTGCCATGCGACAGTATCGTTTTGAACATTCACCGTTTGTTGCACACTCAAACTTGTATACCGAGAGCCAATTGCTAATTGCGGCCCAAAGACGCATGGTGAAGTCTCCTTTAGCTTCATGCTTCCTAAGACGCACGCAAAATTCATCGTCTGGTTTGTGCTTTTCAGTGGGCATGGACGATGGTTCTCCTGGATTTGTTCACCGAAGGCAGGTGGGCAAAAAGAGTATCGGTAAGTTGGTAGAAGGTTGTAGAGGTTAGGACTTAGATGGACTTAGCACCTTTTGCTCACGTTCTCTGCTTTGTGCAGCCAGGGTTCTGAAACCACCAATGATCTGTCCAGTTGCTGCTCCGCTGAGACATGAAGTTCACACCCACCAAGGGCATCGAAAGTATGAAGACCTCCATCCCATGGAAACTCGTCTCCATGAAGCTGCTGAACATGTTCCACTTGACATGCCACCAGGTCGCACTATACCCCAATGTGTGGAAGAAATCCGTGACGTTGTCCAGGTCCCACCACTTCACAGACTTTCGCAGCTTCACATCCTTCAGACCAGGACCCAAAACCAGAACGTCTCATGTGGTCAATGGTGAAGTCAGTGTCTCCACAGGTGCTGTAGTTCCCAAGAGTTGTTGTTCCCATGCGTATGCAAAGCCTTTTCAATCATCAACATGTCTATCAAATGCAAGAACAAAGCTACAGTACTTTGCCAAAAATGGTGTTGCATCAACACTAGACTACTAGTATAAGTGAAGGACCTGACCTCTGACCTCTGGTGAAAAACATTGTATCCTCCAATTGACCCCAATACACATCCACAAATCCACATCAAACAGGATCACACTCTGGACCAAGATCATATCAACCTGATCCAGTCGCAGGCACCATAAAACCAATCCTCCTAGAACCCTCTCGCTCCTTCACATGCTTGATGCCTACGCAGCCAGGTTGGCAAGGAGCTTGCTGGAACCCAGGGATTTTGCTCAAACCTCGCGATTTGCACCGAGGACGCTGGATACGGCACTGGCACACACCCACAGAGTCCAAGACAATCAACGGAGTCCAAGACAATCCATATCATCTGTATGTGACAGGACTTGGAGAGTCCTCGTGGAGTAGATAGAACTTGGTGAGGAATGCTAGCATGGCCAGGTGAAAAGGCAGGGCAAAGAGGGATGGGAGCCCCTCCCTAACAGTGGGGGAGCCAATTCCAGCGCCCAGCAAAAAATTGCTATAGCGAGAGCAACTCCAGCTTGCTGATGCTAGCGTTTGTGACATGGTGAAATCCAATAACACATGGCTGTATCTCATTTCATTTGGACACAAACATCCACAATGTACATTCAAGACACCTGTGAATTGGCCGGTTGCTGGGCACACGCAATCATGATGCCCTTGATGCCACAGAACCGCACGGGTGGAGCCTTTCAGTGGTGCGTAGAAGACCTCACAAGGTCTCGAATTGGCGACGAGGTTTTTGAGCAAGAAATCCGCAGGACAAATGGGGTCTCGCAGTCCAATGAAGCAAAAGAAATCTTCCACGAATCAAGAGCAGCAATTGTTTCCACTTTGCATGCAATGAAGAAACTCTATTGGTGCATCAATCTATTGTTGCAGAACCCCCTTGCACCATTCTGAAACGCTGATCTTTTGGACAGGTTGCAGTGCTGTTGATCTGGAACGATCCCGAAAGATCCTTGGATTGTCGACAACATGACCACTTCCCGAGCAGTACACTTAGTAGTAGGCAACCAATGGTAACCCATGGTTCCAAAAAACAAAAAAGTAGAGCATAGTCTAGTAGACCTAGAACATATGGATAGTCAAGTAGGCAACCGTAACAACTTGGATAGTATAGGAACCTTACACAGGTATTGGAATTATTGGATCTATTGGAATTCCTTCGTCTCACCACATGTGCCACGTCTCCCAGGTCATCTCAAGCAAGTCTTCGGTCAGTGCTCGGAGCCGATCTGGCTGAGTTCTCATGGGCAGAGTCCTGACGGGACTCAACGAATCCGAGTACCAAAACGATGCCTTTAAGAGCAAACGATGCCTTTAAGAGCAAACTATACTAGATTACTAGATATATTAGAATATATTATATAGATCTTCCTTCCTGTTCTTTCTAATAGCAATGGCCTCCACTATATCGGGGGGCCAAGCTATCTGGCTTGCCCATGATGCAGAAGCTCAAAAAGGTTTTTGGGGCAGCACTAGCACGGAAAGTCGAAGAACCGGGTCCTTGTGCCAAACACAGCAGCAATCCTGGGAAGCACACGATGCAAACCAAATATAATATGCTCATATTCTCAACTGAGCATTCCTACATACGAATTACTACAGTCTAACACACCAAAACTGCACTTGATAGAACGAGGTGAATCTCTCACCCAACATTGGATACACAGGAATGAATTATACTGATACTTAACTGCGTGGAGCGGTAAAGTAGCTTACTTCATTGGTCATGTAATCCGTGCATGGATGGTGGCATTTGCAAACAGTTTTCTTCCTACGGTCCTTAAGATATATGGCCAATCGCTGCTGCAGCTCAAGATGTTCATGCAATTCAACAACACTAATCACTAATCCAGCAATATATCGCAAGTGCAGAATAATTTGCCTTCCAAAGCCTTAAAGCCGCCTTGTTAGAAGAAACATGAAGAAACATGGCATGGTGTCTATGTCGTTGATGCCAAATGACCCCCGCCTCCTCACCCCGTATAGAAAAGGGATAAGGAATAAGAGCTCGTCGCCAGTTTTGGGTGATTGTACCTTCAGTTAAAATGACCAAAAGACCCCGAACCATGGAATCACCATCCTGAATCCTCCCTTTTCATTCACTTCTCCGCCATCCCTCCAGATGATCTCACCATATCTCACCACAGCATACCACTGCTACTTTGCATGGAAGAAGGAGAACAAGGAGGAGAAGAAGAAGAAGTCGCGGAGGGACAGGGAGCTGTCATTGTTCTGCACTGGGACCGGTGAAGGGAACACTGAGCAATGGAACAGGGATGAAGCGATGAAACATACAATCTCTGCACAAGTTCCAGCTGGTGACACCCAACGCTGAAACGGTGCAGAACCGCGTGGTTGAACCACGATAGTTGAGCATGGAAGGATGGAAGGTGACAAATGATATTGGAAGGTGAGAGACACACACACAGAGAAACGTCAGGCACGAGATCTTGCCATATCTTGCCCTAGAAGCGATGCATGTCGACAAATTTCTGTATGACCGCCGGGCCCTTGAGAATGCACATGTTTCCAAAAGAAGTCGACGTTATAGAATAGAAACAACATGGCGGTCTTGCCTGTCCAGTTTTCATCGCTGAACGGCACACATCCTTCTTGAAGAACAAACCAAAGAACAAACAGCCGTGCAAAATCCACTAGAAGCTCGACCTGTGCATGTTCCTCTGCCAGCTTCCCATCCCTAAAGGGTACACACCATATATGTTCTGAGCTGCCACTCGTGCCCTTCTTCACTACCAGTAGGTGCCAGTAAGGGTTGCTCCAGTGGATGTTATCCTGGAAGTATTTCCATCCTCTGCATGAGGTCATCAAAACGCACGAGTAGTTCAAAACAATATGCATCCTGGCTATCCTGGGAGATTTATCTGTGTCTTCCGAAAAAGTCTTTAAGCCGAAGCGCCCGTGAGGTCTCAAGGTCTCAGAACATCACCCTCAAGAAACTGGGTCGTGTTTCCTAGGGAGAGCCCCGAACGCCCCGATCGCTTCCCGAACCTTCCAAGGGGTCATTGCCTGGGAGGTCTCCCCAATTTCAATACACTCCCCATATAGATCGTTTGTGTGTGGGACTTGTAACAGTATTCGTCCTTCCAACCATCCCAAATAGATATGAACTGAAGGCGCCAATATGCACCAATGAGGCATGTACTGACACAGCCAATTAGATGATAATTACCTGTAATCACTGCAAACTCGACCTAGCTTTCCTGATCCACATGTGGCCAACAATTCCAAGCCGGCGCAGCAAACTCAAGGCAGTCAATCAATTCCCAAATTACATGAATGGCATTGAATGGCCATGCTCTTTACCGACAAAAATAGGAGCACCGCAGTACGGCTAGGCCCGGCTAGGCGTTTTCAACACTGCACACGACGGTTCTAGGTGATCTGTTCCGGGCGATCTGTTCCAGCGAAGAGGGATACGGACGCCGTATGAGCACAGCGCAAGCTATAGAATTGAATCCAACTCGGCGGCGTACGAGTTCGTTTGCATCCCACCCACACTGTCTCATGAATGCAGTCTTTAAAACAAATGAGTGCCAAGTCATGCCAAGTCTCAACTCTTCACGTGCTTGCTTCCAGCCTGTCACAATCAGTCGTACATGCTGTAAGTAAATGCCATCACGATCCATCACGCATGCCCCCCATGGACGAGCTGCTTGTTTATCAAACTTGGAAGATACATCAAATTACTGATAAAATCTGATACAACTTGAGAAGGAAGTAAGAACGTCCAGTGTGCAGGGAGCACATAGTACATCTAGCTACCATAGCTACTTTTTTGCATGACTTCTCTCATTGACTCATCACTCATCCAAAAATCGTTGGGTCTCCTGGTGTGGATGAAATCCAGAAATCTTGCGGGAACTTGTCGTACTCATCCAGCTTCTGCCGCTCATGCTCTGGGAGATGAGGACGGCAAGTACCCTCCTGTGCAGTGTCCGCAGGTAACATAAATGAACACCTATTAGCTCGGCGATTTCAGATTTTAATGTGATGTGAGACCTCCCTTTCTCAACCAAAAACGACAGCACATAAATTAAATTACCGTTGATTGTGACGTTCCACTGCAGCTGAAGCTCTTTCTGGATTCCTTCTGCCCGCACATTATATGTGTGCAAGCCTCGGACGTCGGAGTTCAATATTCAGAACCTCCTTACTTCCACAAACAACACGAGGACTTTTGGTTTCATGAACCTACTAATATGATCTAATTAATATGCTGAGGCTTTGGTTCGCGGGGAGTGAACCTTTTTGCAACCTTGTCTTGGGCCAACCGAGGCACAGGTGAGGCCCCTCACGTGATTGCGCGCGCGGAGACGCTCGAAGGAGACATCCCGAATGGGAGAATCCACCAATCCGGTGATGTTGGCGACGACAAAGGCTCCATATGATGAGATGTCCCTGCCAGTTGCTGAATCAACTTTAATTATCTCGCTTGAGAGACCATCACCAATCCAAGACAAAGGCAGTGTTTGATGTGGTTTGCAGGAAGGTGTAGTGGGTTTCTCCTTCTTTCCATTCCAAGAGCATATGCCCAAACTACAAAGTACTTCTTCCGCAACGATTTCGGGCGAAGCTGATCTCCGCTGATCTCAATCCCAAGGAGTTCGGCGCACTGGCGCCTGAAGCTGAAGTTCCGAAAGAGCGGAGGCGCACTTGCACCTCTTCCCTGAGAGACGGAGCGGTGACAATGTCCATCTGTCAGATCGCCATGGAAATAGATTTTGATGAGCAAAACGCTGATGGAGGAATTCAACCCACCAAAAAGTAAGGGGGTTGCCAATTTCTATCCAACTTGTTTCATAAATTTGTTATTTATGTGATTCTCTTGTGCCATCAAAAACAACCTGCAGCAACCAGTTTAAACAAATAGCTGATGAGTAACTTCGACCACTGGCCGCACGAGCCTCCGGCCCATTCCAAGAACCATAGGACATGGAAATCCTCAGATCTTTTGGAGCAAACTTGGCGAATCCGAGATGTGGGGATCCGTGGCGTTTTCAACCGATGCCCTGGCTTTGTCCATTTCATGTCGGCTTGTCTCCAACCGACTAGCAAATGGAACCTAAAAGCGATGGTCTCCGCCTACTAGCGATGGCCTCCAACCTAATAGCATCTAACAGCGATTCAATTGTGGCCTTGCTATGTCTTGCCAATATTGGTGAATTGCCGAAGCATCCCGACACCCTCCTCCGACATTCAACACAAAAAAATGCTTTCAGCATTGCAATTCTAGCAACGGAAACGAAGGAATGCATAAAATCACGTGGGCAAATCTCAGCTAAGTATAAACTGGAGGTAGTTCTCCGCTGTCCACCGCTGGAGTCGTTCTTTCATCGACCGATCCGAAAGACAATTGTCAGACGCCTTGCGCCAGTGCATGCGCCATGTGCCAGTCCAATGATGTCCTTTGGGGAATAACGGAGAGGGTTTGAATTGGTACCATATACCCGTTGGTTGTTCAAAGGGGGGTATCCCTCTATTTAATCAACCAACCAATAGTAAAAGGCAGCCCATGATGCTTGTGCCTCTCGGTGCGAACAACGCTGAGACTCTCTATGAAGACTTTGGTCTGATGCTTCGTCCTGGGAGGCGTGGCCGGGGCGCAGAGGTGAGTCACACCTCAGGGAACCGCGTCACATCATGCAAACAATCATACAATTACAGTATTATATAGGTTTATATACCTCCCGGCTCCTGGTCTTTCCGGAATTCACTTATATCCACCTAATTAAGTCCAAAGTCAGGCCACTAAAATTTCTGGGGAGTTTCAGCTAGTTTGCATATGTCCGGTGCGATGTGTCCGTGTCTGGTCTTCCTAGTCAGGTTCTCCCAGTTGCTGATCGAAGATCTGCCGTTTATCATCTAAATTAAACATGGAATTACAGGGCAAGGATCTTCTATCGACATCTTGTGTGTGTGTGTTGTCTTCAATGTCTTTCTCGAACCATGCTTTTCGGACAGGTTCCAGTGCCGCCCACATTGGGTGAAGGAACTTTCAGATCTTTGACTCGTGAACATCTCTCCAGTCTCGAGAAACCTGGATCTTGGCTCTTTGCCAGGCCAATTCAGGATAATTAGCGGCACATCCACTTTGTGGCAGAGAACAAGGCTCCTACTCAATGACAACTACGCTGTTTTTGTTGCACTGGTACTCTAACTTAGAGTAGACCTGCAACAAAAATGAGTAGAGCGTGGTTCATAACATATCTGACAAGTCGTGTCGGGTTGGTTGGAATGTTACAGTATTGCGTTTATATATGATTAACATTTGCGTGAGTTTTCGTCAGCCCCTACGGCCCTACGGCATGTCTTTCGCAAGTTCCCAGGACCTCATGGGACACTCCGGGACCATCACCATCCTGGCTCCCAGTCGCCTCTCCACGCTGGTGATGTTCCGAAAGAGCAAATTCTGAACCGATCCTCCCCGCGGCCTGGACGGCCGTTTGTGTCGTCCTCCGTTTGGAGCATGTTCATAATGTTCATTCAGAGTTCATTCATGTTCTAAATTGTTCCAATGTTTTGTATTTTTTCCCCGCCCTTACTTAATTTAAGTGACGGCGACTAGTTTGCTTCTAGGTAGGATGTAGGACAGCTCGCGCTTGCACTAATGATTTGATTCTTAGATCGTTATAGGGAAGCTTAACGACCATACCGAAGCACTCCACACGATTGTATATCAGGCAACCCCACACCATCAGCCTGGAACTTTTAATGAAAATGCCATGCCAGCGGTTTTTTGGGCGATCATCTCCAAAGTGGATGTTCTCCACCAAAACGTCGGAGATGCCACCTAAAGGGCAGTGGTGGAAAGGTCTGGTCAGGATGGTTGCGATATCCATTTGCTCATTCGGTTTGGGATATTCATGTGTAATTACATGTCCATAATTACATTCTTCTGCACAGCAATGTGGACAATCTGAGATGGCCACCACTCATTTCGCTGCCGATTGATAGGCACTTGGAACGCACTTCCAAGTCATGCAAATGGATGTGGGAACCTCAAGACACACCACTTTGCCTGAGACACACGCACACCGTGATGCACATCAAGTGGAAACAACAGAAAGCTTGGCTTGATTCATGGTCTTAGGGACTTCCATGTGAGCTTGAATCTTCAAACTTGGATTCAGCAAAGTGCAAGGGGTGTCAGCCCTTCTAATATCCACTTGCGATTAATAAACCACCACCCCTAAAAAGGCTAAACACATCCCAAAAAAACAACTACTAAACTACCCCTAAATAAAGGCAAATAAAGCTAAACATCCTGCAACTTGCTTGATTGTCATTTTATTGTCATATATATATAAGTATGATAGATAATGATATGGTTTCAACATGTTTTAACATTGTGATTTTATCATTGTCGTGTCACTGGGATAAATAATGTGTGTATTCATTTGCTGATTGCTTATGTTGATTGCTTATCATTGGAATCTGCAGAAATTGCTCATCTTTACTGCGTGCTTTGCTGATTCAGCAGCAGATTTCTGGTGCACATGATGAATTGTTCATTGCTGTCCCATGAAGCCACCATACTCTAAATAACTATGTACCCAAATAAAGCTTTAACAGCTTGCTGGCTGAAAACAAGTAAGACCTTTCATCTCAAGTCGTGGAACTGGTCCACGATACTAATGCCCTTTCATCTCATTAGGGAATTTGGCGATTACATAAGATTACTTAGGGGCAACAGTCAGTGGGTTCCCTGTGTATTCATCAAAGGTGGTCATTCAATTATCCAGTTTCAGTTTGACTAGCTCCCTTCCGGACCCTCAGGGCGAGTCGCTGGGCATCCCAAAGCGCAAACCAGCTTCGTTGAGGCCACTCTTGATCGCGATGGCGTCATCTCCCGTGGAAATCACCTGATGGCGTCCGTCCGCTGGGCCCGAACGGGAGGATGAGTGGACCGGCCGCTTCCCGCTGGACTGGATATATCTTGGGATGTTCCGGTTCGTGGCTAAGGCATGCTAAGGCCTCGGCACAATGGCGTACAACTGCATTAGTGACGGAATCCTCGGTCTTGGAACATGTGCATCGCCAAAAGTGTTGGGAGTGGGTTGCTCGTGAAAGAAATAAAAAACAATAGAAGACGACAGAACCGTTGGGGTGGGGTTCCGATAGCAAATGCCAAGAGGAGAAAGGATTAGCACAAAAAAGGGCTGATTGCAGTAGGTTTAGTCAGGTCGTGAGTGGCAACACAAAGAAACACATGAGACCATCCTTCTATTGCCTTTATAGTCTTTATACATCTTTATACATTCACTTTACACTAACATAATATACTAACACTTGCAAGGTTGTGAATCGCTCGGATTGTTCACCCCCAGTCTGGACCTGGTCCAACTAAATACCACCCGGTTACCACGCCATATGACACACAGTTCAAATGTGTGGCTTCTCAGCCTTCTTGAGAAGGCAAGCTTCCAAATTGATTCCATCCGTGTTCTTCGACGAATACGGTGCTTCGATCCGCAAACGTTCGGCCTTGGTTGCAAATCAAATGAGGAAGCATTCTCCATCAATCAATTGTATGTCACGTGCAGTCATGGCACCACTATGTCTCGCGAAGCGTAGAAATGGGTGTTCCAAAAGGGTGGATTTTTGAGGATGAGCTTGCGCAGGATGATATGGTCGCTGTACATAAACTGGATGAGTGAAGGCCTCAAATGCGCCAAGATTACGTCTTTGGATGTTCAACGAGCTGGAAGTCCAATGTGAGTCCGTCTCCAAATGAGGGGACTGCAACCAATGGGCTTTCTTCAACTTTCCTTGTTCTTCAGTGGTCTTTTTTGGTGGCCCTACTTTGCCACTAACCCCTCCCTTTCTTTTCTCACCGTCCCAACAGAGTTGCCAGTTTCAAGCGCTGCAGTTCATGTTCTTGCAAACTCCTCCGCTCGCTGCCAAGTATTTCTGCTTGTCGTCTGGGCTGCCCGTTCCTACACCCGCTCAGTCAATCCTAAATAGAAATAAGAATTGTTTGGTGCAGAACAACCTTCACGAATCCAGCCAGGATTTTGCACTGGAGGTCTTCTGTTTGCTTCCTTGAATTTATATATCATTAAACTATATTTGTATATTACTAAACTATACAGTATAACTGATGACTCACAGACTCACCTTTACATGAGTCAATAATATCTATATATATGTAGATACAGTAACTAAAATCAAAAGGTGTTGGATTCTGTTGGATGGTGTTGGATTATGAAGGGTTTCAAAAGGGCAATAGATCGAGGGAAACAACAGAACCAAAGAGACATGGTTGATCATTGATTCAAATTGTTTGTGTATTCTCATACTGGTCAGTCCCTCCATGTCTCTCCACAACTTCCACCACGGCACCGCCCAAAGGGCAAAGGCCCACGGCGGAACTTCGCCCACCACCATTCACCCTTCCCATCGATCTCCGCGTAGCCGTGACCCATCTCTTCGCCTGCCAGGCACAGCTCAGGTGACGCTCGATAGCTTGCCCAACACTGGGTATGACTTGAAAGGAACATGGACAAAAACTTCCTGATGAGCGACATTGAAGAGTGAAAGTCTGCTGCCGCCAGTTCTTTAATTCAAAGCCCCAAAGCCAGTGGCAAGCAAGAGAGATTCTGCAATGCTCAGCCAAAGCACCTTCAATCACAACGTCTGTCAGGTTGAAGCCTGAGATCAAAGCTGCAGGCCTCATTCACAAGTGAATCCGTCACCCAGCCAAACTTTGGGGTCATCTACCAGCAGATCCCTTAACTCCTCCAACAAGGGTCTTCAAACGTGATCTGTTTGGGACCTGGAAAGCAACCTTTTGATACCAAGAAACTTATACAAGTTCATGCTGCTGATTATATACACACCTTGACCGTAGTTCAAGAGGCTGACACGGCGACCGGGAACTGCTTGAAACAAACGGTTCATTTTGCGGCACCTTCTTGCCCTGCCTTAGGCTGAGGTCTTTGGCCCAGTCCCGATTGATGCCATAGCTTGGAAGTGGTGGAACCAACGGATATGCCGAGAAATCCGTCACCTCCGGCGCAGTACAACACCGCGCCAGGAAACGTGGAACGTATCAATTTGAACACCATTTGGTATACTGCGGCAACCTGATAGGACGATCCCATTCTAATTACTGGACTTCGAGCGTCCCACTGAGGCGTTGCAAATGGGTGAATGCAGCCTAACTGATTGCTTGTGGAAACATCTCCTCGTCCTTCTTGTTTGATGACTCAAAGACTCAAAGACATCCCTGTCAACCAACAAAAAGAGCCCTCAACAACACGCTGCAACTTGAATGACTCACATTCTGCAGAACCCGAGCAGAGCATGAGAAGTGAAAGTGTTCCTACAAACCGGGCAGGCAATCTCAGGGAGAAGAACTGAGCAAAACATGATAAAGTTCATTAAAGTTCTGACAGTATGCAACCCAGTATTGATCTATTATTGCGCGTGCATGTGCCTGCCAAAAGCCTGAACCTGGATGAATGTGGGAATCCCGGTGCTAAAAATACACAAGTAACATGTACATGAAATGATATGAAACGTAATGTAGTGAACACATTAAACGAGGGACCCGCTTCATCGTCTTTCATCCCACCTACCTAATGGTCCAAACGGATAAAATAGGGTGTTGCTCCATCCACAAAAACTCAATGATCTCATTCATGCTTGTGGAAATAGTCCCTGAAATTCTTCCATGATCGATGCAGCTCGTGCGATCGCAAAGAAGCAACCAGCTTCTGGCACAAACAGAGATCTGTAACAATGGACTCAACATGATAAATCCACATGATTGCCAATCCTATGCAAAAACAAGCAAGTCAATGCAAATTAGCCTGCAATGCGGCCAAGTCGCCCCTAAGAGTCTGCTACCTTTGAGCAAACGGAGAGTCATCTTGCTTGATAAATTGAAGGAACCTGTGAGGAAAGTGCCCTCAGGGATCCTTGGCAAATTTCGCCACATTTTGAGACAAAAGAAACGGGCACTGCTCAGCACGCGTTTTATGGTAGGCATATCTTGCCTTCGAACTTGCACTTCAAACAGGAGCACAAAGCGCCTAGCTTTGACCGTCTAAAATTCGACCCGTGCAGACCGGCTTCTCCAGCAAAAGGCGCTGCTGCCCCCGCGAGGCGCCTTTGACACAAAGGTGCTCCAAAACGCAAGACTTGATGCACGTTCATGGATCTGACTGTCCGAGTTACAGGTACAATATTTCCCTTACTTGACGAGATACATCTGTAGATGATCTACAAACCAAATACTTTCAAATACGACTTGACAACTGTACAGTACCATATTATAGGACCTTCACGCACAAAGTCTCAGTCTGCTTTCATGTTTGCACCATACCACCTTGCCCAACTACTTTCACAAATGGCACGACTACTCTGTCTGTAGGAGTTGAGTTGGGACACAGACTTGCAAGTCTGCAGGTGAGCTTTGCCTAGTTTTAATTGTCTCAGGACTCATGTATTTGGTCGACAGGCTTGGACAAGTTGTTGTTTGAATTTTGAATCTCTATAGAATAGTCGTATGGACCTTAAACTTAAAGAAACAAGATTGACATCCTTGCATTCTTGCTTCAAACAAAGACCAACAAAAACAACTATACCATTTGTTGTAACGTTGTGGGGTCAATGGAACACATGTTACGCACACAAACATAGACCCCAGGAAACATGCAACTGCTGAAGTCAAGTGCTGGTAGAGCATGGCAGGTGTACCCCCCTGTCCTGGACCTCCAAGCAACCAATTTTGTCTATTGACCGTCGCCCAACACACATAGTGCCAAGCGTCCACAGCTTTCGATGGCGTTTCGGAAGGCCTTGGAATTGTCGGTCATCCCATCGCCGAGAGCACCGAAGGAAGAGAGATTGCATGCATAGATCTCTGAAATGGGCGCGGTAGGCACGGTCTCCTGAGGATCAGCAGACGGGTTTATGGACAAGTCATACCACTCCACCTGGAGTTCGAGTGATTATAGTGGATTGAGAGTAGATGGCACAATCCCAAAAAGGTTGTTTATGGACCTGGGATCACATCTAAAAGACATCTTGGGATTTGTGCCATCTACTCTGAAACTGCAACCACTTGAAGACTCAAAACTGTGAATCGATGCTTCGGGAAGGCCTATGAACATGGGTGGAATGAGTCAATTCCCTCGGTAGACCTCCCCTGGGTCACGGTTCTGGATTTCGCCTCACAGCCGGTCGGAAGTGGTTGATCTGAACAATTCCAAAGACTTGTCACCCAAACCCCATCCGATGGTCATGTTCATCCACAAACATTCCGTTGGTCAGACCGGTCCTGAGAGATTAGTCGGTTCGGCTTCTCAGGAGGCTGAAGGTCCACATCGAGGGCCTGTGCCAGAGCGATATCCACCTAGACTTAATCAAGTACCCCTTTGAACAGATTGCTTTTACGATCTGTCAAAGCATTTGTTTGGCTTCACTCATGGCCCTCCCCATCAATTGGTTCACCACTCCCGAAGTAAAGAGTGTTTGTTTATACTTGTTGCTTTTGCTCCATTGCCAATGGTTTCCATTCATTAAACTATAGTTGTATTGTGTCTACTCCTTGCTCATTGCCAAATTTGCTGCTCCACTATACAAGAACCAAAAATACAGGAAAAAACACCTTAGTATCTGAGCCCTTTCTCCTCTATGTTTATTGCATGCTGCATGTGGAACCCCTTCTGGATTCTAAAATCTTGGGTGAAATTCCTTTATGATGTTCTTTATACAAGTTAATTACAAGCACATAATTGTAATTATGCTGTAAACATGCTAATCTGTCAGCTATTACACAAAAGCTGAAGGCCCCATACCATAAATGATCCCTGACCATCCCCGACATGAAAAACAGCGCTATAAGATTTCTTGGTCCTAGATTTCGGACATCCTTGCACTTTCTTCCTTTTCTTAGCCCAATACTGATTGGAAACACGGTCACTTCGTTTTGTGTCTACTTTTAAGGATCGATGGCTTCTTATAAAGCACGGGGAAGGAATCAAAGAACCACCAAAAGATCTTGGCTGCCTTGCGATATCAAATATCATACCAAACAATTCAAACAACAGCCTAAATTAGCAGCTCGAAAAGGGTATGTATTCCTCACGATTGAACTGGGCACAAAATAAAACTCTGCACCAATTCCCAAGTCCTCAACCACATTCCCAAACAAAGGAAAATCTTCTGATTCCAGTGGATTTGCCTTTCACCAATTCCCAATTCCTGTTCACTGTAACAATGCACGAAGAAACTGCAGGGGGGTGCTTGTATAAGCAAAAATAAATCGTAGTCATAGGCGGACATCACAGCATTGAAGCCTTCTTGGATACCAGATTGGCGGATTGAATGAAAACCAAAGCAATCATATTCTTCATTATCTTATCTCCAAACCGAGCTATTCAAGAAATGTCTGCTCAGGGCAAACCAATATGATCAATATGTCACTCATCGAGTCAATGTTAGGATTGCGCGCAATTCAAGACTCACACGTCCTGTTCATGTGATTACGAACAGTTGGGAATGGCTTGCTTGCACAGTTCCAGCAAGGCCTTCGTCCAAAGGGTCTGCTTCTCGCTCGCGTCCTTGAAACATCAAAAGAACTATTAGATTTGTTGATGAAAAAAAGCAAAGTTGACTCAAATGGACCGGATAATTATATGCAGTACCGGCAGTACCCGGAAATCTTTTGTTTTAGGAGTTATGGGCCCAACCTTCCAGCTCTCCTTATTATGTAACTGTTGGCTCTCATGGCAGGATCCTGTGGGTAGGCTCCTACAACGGCAACTGCAAGAGAAAGGTGGGTATAGGGAATGCGTCGCAGGATGTTCTTTATCGACTGTATCCATGTGGTCTAGACACCCAAGGTTTGGGCATGGAGATTACCGAAATCCAACACGGCCATGGCGACCATCACTTGTTGCGTGGAGCTGGTCACATTACATGTGGACAAAGCTGACGTTGGAATCCGACCGGCACTCCTCAAATCTTGTGTTGGGATAAGAGTGAATGCCGGAACGGTTCCGAATCCCATCCATCGTCAGGTCTTTCCAAGCCCTCTGACCCAACTCAACTTGCAAAAAATTGTGTTTGTCTTGACTTTCGGAATTCCCTCTTCTAGAATCTTCTATACTGTCTATACTATAAAGACTATAAAGGACATCATTCCCCGGTTGATCGATTCATCGGCTGCGCGCCTTAAAGGAATGTTCCTGGTAGCGCACCTGGAGCACGAGGCAGACCGCTGCACAAACCAACAAGCAGCTAAGTTTGCGCCTCGGACCATGGTTCTGCAAGGATGCAGCTCAAACAGTTTGCCCGTTTCCCAACAAAACAGTGAATGACAGTGAATGATGGGGGTCGAAGGGAAGCGGACACAAAGCACGGAGCAATGTTCTGCAAAAACGCAAGTGCCAATGTAGCAGGGAGTATTTTGGTCTCCTATGCATGCAGCACGAGGTGTTGTAAGAAAGCCATTCCTTCATGCGCACATCAATGCGGAACATGAGACAATACTAGCCGAAGAATGCGGCTGAGATTTCACTTGAAAAAACTTTAGACCGGCATGCCACTCAAGTGTATGGCAGGCAGCTGCTGTACCCAGAGGCGAGGCAAGTGATTGGAGCTCTGACAACACTAGATTCTAGATACAACACAGGTAACACGGTACCGCGTTTCGGTTTCTCAATTGCTAAACATCTCTCACTGAGACTGGGGCATATAGCTTGGCAGCCCGGTCTGCCTATTAAGCGGAGGTATTCTCTGCATCCATGGCGAGACATGGCGGCCGCCTGTGATCCACAGCTCACACCCGGCAGATTGCCAGGCCGAAGAGCATGTCCAACTTCATACTATGGTCATATGCGAGTCTAAGACTTTGGGGCCCCCGTGACATCACGGCGGTTCATACAGTTTCATCAATCTGTTCTTTCTGTTTCAAAATCAAGTGGCTGTGGGTCAAATCTCAATGCCACTGGTCTAGCAGGGGATGTTGTTCACCTACATACCTACTATGGTTAGGGGTGTTCACGTTGACTCCTGACCCCACCTGTAACTCAATGCCATGCAACTAGACTGATAATCACCCCACAATCCGACTGATCATGTCTTGATCTTGCAAAAGGCCGCACGGCTCGGACAGCAACCAATGACCAATGCATCTCTTTGGTCGGGCTCCTCACTCTCAAGACATCGCGGTATGTTCAATTGGACCCCCGACAAACCGTTGATTCTGGGGTCTTCTAGTTTATAACACATCACATTGCTTGAGACGCATCATTCAGCACCGGCGGACCGGCGGTGAACAAAACAAAGCATCGCAGGGGGTGTGCCATTAAGGTGAACAAATCGTGCATGTGCACGCGATGGTTCTCGCAAAGCTTGGGCAATCGGTCCTGGCGACGGGATCTCATGACTTGCACAGCATTCCAAAGGTGTCCAGGTGTCAGAAACAGCTGGTGAGTCCTCCAAGTGGAAGAGCAAAATCACACCTCACTGGGATTTGTAACAAATTCCACTGAAACAACCAATCTCAATTCCAGGGTGCTCCGAGACAACACTAGCTCACTAGGCAGGATTGATTTATGTATATATTATATATATAGTATGTTAATGTATTTTACATAATTTAACTATTATCTATTCATACTTAATTTTCCAATGATACTAGCTGCATAGTCCACATCACTCGAAACACCACAAGCAGGCAAACATATTTCAATCAAGGCACGATTCAGGAGAAGATCTTGCTTTGATTCCACCTCCAAGTAGTGGCAAAGCAGGTGGCTCCAAGGCAATTTGAACATGTGTTCGATCAAACCAGCAGGTCCTACGAGACCATGAACCGTCACCGCTACTGTATGTGTGTGTGGATGTGTGTGGACATCCCCCCTGCATTGGATCGCCTCTAATATCCAGCCTCGAAGGATGAAACATATGATGAGAGATCATTGGGTCCGCAAAGAACCAACTTGCTATGTTCCAACATACACCAAACCTTCCTCATGGTCATGGTCCATGGTGATGGCCCTCATGGTCATGGCCCTGGTCTGCTGTTGAAGTACGGATTCTCAATCATTGTGCCAACTACCAATATGAAACTGGAGTTTAAATATCCAGGTGACTCCCAAACAAAAACAAATCAGACTGGATCAACTATCTCGCGACAACCCCCCACCCTTGGCACTGTGCATCTTGAATGCTCCGAATCCTTGACCTCACAATTCGTCAACAGGTGTTGATAAAACAAGATCCGCAGCAGGTACTGTACCTCAAAAACATGCGGAGATCACTCTCACTTTGGAGTCTGCCTGGAAATTGACAAACAAATAAATGGACAAATGCCCATCTTTGACCCAGCTGCAAAACTAGCAGCTCCCGCACCCACCTTTCCATAGCTGGCCAAGATTCCTCCACCCCCCTACCCCAGGTCAAAGACGAAATGATCTGCATATCTAAGAGTTATCTAAGGTCCATTCCCCCACCCCCACCGTGCCCCACCCATCTCAATGACTTTCTTCGGTCCGTTGGTCTTCTCTCGTCGCAAAGGACGGAGAGAATCCGCCGCCCGGCCTTGGTCACCAGCGCTTGTGCCCTTGAGGCCTTCCCCACCTTGGCTGTGGAGCGTCACCGAAGGCTAGTAACAACGGCATCGCTACTAGTCACAAGAAGCTACTAGTAACTCCTGGCACTACTACTAGTAACTTAAGGAGCTACAAGTAACAAGGAATGGTGTGTTGAATTTCACAAGGAGTTTTAATTTGTTTTGATCCATCGCCCCATACGCAAAATTGGCTGATGCAGAGACTGACCGTGGCTTCCAAAGGTTAAATTGGTACTTACAGCTTTGGGCCCATCGCTCAATCCAATAGAACCTAAAGAAGGAAGAAACTACAATTTCATGAACCTGACTTAGAGATTGTCCCTTGGTGCTCTGACATGTCATAGATCGCACAAGACTATCCAGCTGCAATGACGAAACCTTCATTCTCCTGCACCATATGGCATGGAAATCCCTCTCTCCTAGTACAGGATTAGGTCCATCAACAGCGAAAGGGACTTGGAAACTACCGAAGCATGAGCACGACCAATGTCCGACCTCCCGGTTCAAAAGGACATCTCGGTTGCAACATGACCTTTGCGGCAATTTGTCACTTGTGCTGCTTGGGACCTGGCCTTGTTGTTGGGACTCCCAGGCAGCAAGACCATGCATCTCTGGATCTGAGCCGAGGGAAAGGTCCAATTGGGGCCAAAAGCGGTCCAGGGACCGAACCTCGGCCCTGTCGCTCCCAAGGATGCCCAGAGGTAGAAACGAAGAACCAACCGGCGCACAAGATGAGTTTTGCAATGGAAAAGCACGAGAATTGTCAACTAGCCTTAACATTGTACATGACATGGTTCATCATGGTTTCCCCTTGCACAAACACGGATTGGGCAGCGGGGAATCTGTGGCTAGGGTCGGCCCGCTGGTTGGTATAATTGGATACTGAATTGGGTGGATGACAACTTCTCAGTTTGGGCGACCTCTACTCTCATATTTGACCAACCCAGCCAGCCCACACTCCGGTTCTCAGGCGCCCTTCAAAGGACACACGGGGGGCTAGTGGGCTGAGCTAAGCGTGAGCTACCAGTTCACCTGGAATCCTTTGTCTGGCTTGGTTGATAGGGGAAGAATCACAGAATTGTGAAACTTCCCCGGCGCCGGTCATTGCAGGTTTTGGTTGTGTGCTGTTCTTCCGAGCAAATGTTCTCTCCAGTCAGCCCATCCCACGCCCGAAGTAGACAATCATGCACGCAACATGATGTTCCAAATTGAAGAGACCCTGGAAACAAAACAAGCGGAGAAACCTCTCTGGGAGCTGCGCTCGTTCGCTCCAATCGATGCGATCTTTCGGCATGCCGTAGTTGCAATGCTGAAAATCCTTTCAGGCACGAGGTGCACGACACGGGTCGGCACAAAGGTGCATTGAGGTGCATCGTCTGCCTACTTGCCTACTTTCCCCAACCTTCTTGGGCATCCAATCAAAAAGGGTAGAACAACAATATCCTTAGAAATCCCTTTTATAGTAGACATGGACATGGTCAATACCTCAAGAATTCCAAAAACTATCCTCATCTCAATGCCTTAACAAAAAGAAACGGTATGACAGCAATGCGCCTCAAAGACCTTCTCCTGTGACCCTCGGGTCTCCTGGCATCCCAAATGACTGCAAGGGACTCTGGGAACCGGTCTTCGGATTTTCCATGTCTGAAAGCTCTTTTTGCAGGTCCTTCAGGTTGTCTGTTCTGTCAGTTTTTCAGGATTCTCCAGGTCTTCGAGGTCTTCTTCTCGCTCTTTTCTGTATTTCTTCCAAGCACAGAAACATACAGAAACACCGGGCTTCTAGACCAAACCCGGTGTGTCGAACCAGTCGAGTTGACCTCGGATGGCCCCGGAAGGCACTCGGAAACGGTGGATGATCCAGGCGGACCTTCGGGTCCAACTACTTTGAGAGCCAAAATCCAGAAATCGTTATGGCAGCCTGGCAGCTGTTGCATCTGTTGCATCTCGTTGCCTTTGGGGACACAGTGGACCAATCAGACTGTTCATTGCAGTTTCCCAAGATCACCAGAGAGTATCCGCAAATGATCATCACCAGGGTACCCCGCAAGCCCGATGAGGGTCACTCCATGACCACTTCGGACTTCATGCAGAGTCGTTGTCGCAGAGTCGTTCATGGATGTAGCTGCAAGTCTGCAAGCACCAGTGCCGTTGAACCACACCAGTGCCTAAAATCCGACACCTCCAAACATCTGTTGCATGCTCCCCAGCTAGCTTGGCAGGCAGTCACCCAGCCATAAGCCACCCGTGGCGATCCTTTTCCGTGTGGGTCCGTGGAGGTCCTTGACCATGGTGATCACCAAGGCTGGATTGAAGAAGGCCGGAGACTTGATGTTGCAGCTCTGGGGAAGGGGAAGTATGGAGGGAAACCGTGAAACATAAAGCAAGGTATATCGAAGCGATCACTCACTATCACTCACTCACCCACCTCTCATTCCCCATAATGGAGGAGCTGTGCCAACTACACCCAGGTTCGGAAGGTTATATCATATATTATATCGATAGAAAAACACAATCTGTCTGATGGGACCCACGCACCCTCTGGCAAAGTATTTCACCTTTCACCTCATCCAGGGCGTTCGCATTTTCCAAGTCGACTCAATAAGTCGTCCTCCCCGGCTTCCAAGAAAATGGCTCACTCTCAAAGCATCGATAATTTCGGCTGTGAGCTGAAACATGCTGTAAACCAAATGTGCTCTTACTTTTACAGAACATGGGCACTCGCTCTAGTTCGCAATCATTTGCCAGCTTCGTCCCCACGCACAAACTGATGTCGCCTCTGGCAGCTTTCTCCGTCGCTCCTAGGCTTGCTAATCGTGAGACATCCATGCGTTCCAAATGCCGGAATGACAGGTGAAACGATTCCCTTTTGGCTTGATTCTAGCTACTAGTGGTATACGTATATCATCGATTATCGTATATCCATACATCCTCTCAAAATGCCATTTTAGATCATTTTAGTGCATTCTCCCAATTCTCCCTTTTCGTCCCGATCTCGTACCGAGGCTCGGATCGAACCTGCCAAGTGGTGAGCTCTGGTCTCACCAGCTGTGCTAAAAGACCCCGACAAAGGGTGAAGCTGACAGGTGCCATCGCGGTGCGCGCGCTCGCGGTTCGTGGGGAAAGGTGTCGGGCGGGTCAAGGTGGCCGGCGTACCAGAACGCTGTTCGATCGATGCACGGGAATGCACAAATGAACACGCTGAAAAAAAAAAATATATAATTATATATAAATATACAAAATGACACAACATTCTCTGCAGATTTACTTGCTAAACGCTTTGAATCATTGCCGTTCTCAGTGCTTAAATTCAGATTGCTTAGTTGGCCAAGCTTTGCCTCCAAGTTCTAATGACACGCGCCTTGGTTCGGACTTCAATGGAAAGTACGTGGGATTTGTTACATGAAACAATGTGTTCTTGCCCGTAACATCCTTCTTGTAACTCTCCAGCATTCATCTCTTGTTGATACCTTTGTTTGGTTCATTGGCAAGTGAGAAAACTTCACAGACCTATATATCAGCAAAGAGAACGCCACATACACTCTGAACTCGGATTCAGTCGCCTATCCCCTCGCAAGAAGACCCAGAACCTTGGTGTACGTGGGCGGCACCGCCACTGCGAGGGTGTAGCTGACCCACTGCGAGGGTGTATCAGAATGTATCAGTGCTTTTAGGTACAGTACATCAGTGTAGAGACCTCTGACTAAGCTGTCAGACCTCTACCACTCATTCAGAATTGAATAAGTACAGTATAAGTATGTATAAGTAGTATATGATGTGAGAAATTGTGAGAACTTGCTCCCCGGCTCATTCGCTGATATGTCAGCAGCGAAGACCTCTTCCAGTGGTATTCGTGCCTCGGTACAGTTTTAAGCTGCCTCGAAACCTTATGTCTTGGCAGTGTTGTATCACTCATCGACTCGTGCCCTCTGATAGAATCACATGGTCAGACTATGGCAAAAAATAGTTAAACTACAGTATGTTGAACTGTTGCAAATCACAGTGCAAAAGTCAAGACCGGGTGATCCCGGATGGGTTCGACTTTGGCCAAGTCAGAATCCCCACTAAACCGCTTGGAACGCAGCAGTTGCTCCGTCCAAGGCTTCTTCGTTGAGGTGTATGACCTAAGCCGCTGTGACATGCTGTGGCAGTTCACCAGTGCGGTCATGTGCAGCAGCTGCCAAACATTGTTAGACCAAAAGTCCACCTTTTCTTCAGCTGCGCACTGAATGTGTGCTAAAGGTTTAGGAGATGATCGTCTCCAATTGGAACCATCATTGAACAATAGCTTGGCCAAGTTGGACACCTTCCTTGCATGCAACCTCCTTGCAGTCTCCTACGAGGTTGTCCTTGAAACATCCTTTTTTGCCGACCTCAACAGCAAATACCAGGGATAATCGGCCATCAGAAGCTACCCTGAAAACAATTTCTGAGCCGTAAGCAAGGAGGCCGAAACGTGGCATGCAGGCAAAAAATACGACTGTATGGTCTTGGCCCCTACAGCAAGCAATCATTTTTGGTTGACCTTCTGGTGGGCATTCCAACACGATTGTTCAAAAAAGGTGCTTCAATCGTCAGGTATTTCAATCAGGCTTGCTGTCATGCAGAACTAAGTGCCAAGCAAGCCTGATATCCTTGTCGGACTGAGACATGTCAATGCCGGTGCAAATTTGCCTTGCTGCAAAGATATCCAGCATCATTATCATTGTTGAATGAACAGCTCATACATGTTTGTGTTGCAAGATTCTGGTTGTGGCGATCAATGATGTAAAGTGCGAATCACATGTGGCCTAGATTTTGTTGAGTCAAGGTTCACGTGACATTATTCAAAAGCCAAGCATGGCAACAAAATGTGAGTCCTTTGGTCAATCCATGACATCTTGCCACGCAACAAAAGCAACATCTAGTCACCCAACACCTACCTTGACCATTGACCATCCTCGACCAACGGCCCACCGAAATCCCATCGTATGGAGATCCCCTTCAGTGCTCAGGACGATGCTCATAGAGTCAGGATGTGCAGTCGACTCGCGCTGGCTCGGGAAGAAGGGAATCTTACCCCAGCCCACAATGGCTCATTCTCTCGTTCCCCACTTCGAATGGCAAAGAAAACATCTGAGCGAGGGCGGTGCCAAGCTGCTCTGGCGTCATGGCAGTGGAGATCTCATGGTTCCAGTCCTGCAATGTGTGGTGACTGGCATGGTGTCTCCATCAAGCTAAGTCGATAGGTCTGGGAAGCGGAGCCAGTCTTGGGACATAGGGTGTCTCAGGCAGTGCAGGCTTGTCCATCAACATGCTGAGGACATTCTGCATTTCTTTGCCTTCATTCACTCTTACTGTAGTAGGGTGGAGGCCATCGCTATTAGGTTGGAGGCCATCGCAAATAGATCTAATAGTGTGTGATTGATTATTCTATTGTGATATTCTATGTTTCAACATTGTTTCCTAATTCTATTTATATAGTTGACTTTTCTTTTTAATGTGTTCTATTTCTCTATCTATCAGCCACTCTTCCAAGCCGTTCCCGGCACCCTCTGTGTCGGACTCTTTGCATGGACATCCACTCTAGGCGTGTTGGCCTCTGGTTCGCCGGGCTCAATATTCTTCAGTTCTTCGGAGGTAATCTTCAATTCCTGACGTCGGAAGTTGGAACTGCAAGGCCTCCACCCTAGTTGACCTCCACCCTAGTAGCGATGGCCTCCAACCTTAGAAGCGATGGCCTCCACCCTAGTAGTGATGGCAAGGTTACAAGATCGTACAAAATCGTGCAAAATCCAACCTACTTACGTGGGGACAAAGCAAACCATTTGATCTATATAGGGAAATTTCAACGGCGGCTGATCCAGCTCCGTCAGGACCACCCTCCTTGATCCACAGTAACCTGTTCAATCCTTGATCACACAAGTGCCAAGGTAGTTGCACCATTGTGTTCAAACACCAGCTCGCTCCTGCCCTATCCCCTCACCCTGTTTCAATCGCCAACACATCTCTATGGCTACCACCACACTAGTGTACAATTCCAACCTCGAACTTCGAACCATCAAAGTTGGAGCGAACCATCGGAGTTTGCATTTCCGAAAGTCATTGAAGAAAGCTACTAGTCGATGTTCCAAGCTTGTTGGACAGTACAAGTACATGAACAACAAGCAGCCGAGTTTGGAACTTTCTTGGGCCGTGGCCACAATGACAGTGACATATAGACAGTGACAGTGACATATATAGAGTTGCTTCTGCCGCCCGATGCCTTAAGAATCTTCTTGGCACCCTGGCACACAAAGTCAATTCACAAAGGTCGGTTCAGCTTGGAAGCTGGTGTATTCAAGGACTTAAAATGGTTGAATTCCAGAATCTGCTTCTTGTCATGTGATGTCTTCAACTGCCTGCGGTGAGTGCTTGCATGGATATGATGGGACATGTATTGGATGTATTGGAACAACACCAGCTTGAACTTGACGAGGGGCAGTCCAAATGGCGACCCAAGCCCTAAACCTATAGCTTGTTAGGGTTACTCACCAATGAGCCTCTTTTGTGGAAAAACACATGTTGTTCAACATCCACCGGTTCCGACGCTCGTCTGTTGCGTGGAGGGCCTGCTGGTCGCTCCATCCAAAGTGTCCTTTCTTGTGTGGATTGAGCGCTCCTGGCACTAAAGGGAGCAAGGAGCAAGCAACGCTGTTTTGTAATGTTCTGTGCAGGCGCAGGTGCGCGAAATCCGTTCTGAGGGTTCGTCACGTTCTTTCAGCATGTTGAGCCAAAGGCCGACATATACGTGTGATGAAGCCCCTTCGATGACATGGAGGACAGTATCAAGATGTACCAAGTCTCTGCGTCTGCGAGTCCTCCATACCAAGGACCAGCCCATTGTCGGTGGTTTGCTTTGGCCAGGTAGATGATCAGAAACCTCCCAAAATCGCTGCGCGAACGGAGCCCAGCGGGCTCTCCGCGCCTGTGATCGCGCCTGTGCTTGCAAAGAATTTTCATGGGAATCAGCATCCTCTGGTAGATCGGGCCATAAACATCCATTGACCAAATTAACACAACATATCAGCCAGAAACGGCCTGGAATCTCCTGGATGGAGATACCCGAGTTGAAAACTGCATCTTTACCTCCGACGGTCCGTGTCCCAACAAGAACTGTCCGCTGCGCGCCTCTCGGAGGTGGGCAGCGTGTCCACCTTCCACCACGAGAGGTCTCGGTGGATATCATCGTAGGTCTCCTGAAGCGAGGAGTCGGCGATCGCCCCACCGTGGAAGGGGTGTCGTGAACCATGTTGAATCTGAAAGGTGACTCCGCACACGGAGTAGCTGTAGAATAGCATGTAGGAATAGTCATTCTGAAATTCCTCAGAAACTCTCTTGCGCTATGCGCTAGCAGCTACTCAAAAATCCTCCAAGATCCTCCAAGTACCTTTTTTCCGAGAGGCGACATGCAACAATGCCGTATTCTGTCCTGGCAAAGTGCGGGGATTTTACCGTCCTTGGAGCCTGCAGCTGGGCTCACAACGGCAGTCGGGCTCGCCCGACCCTTTGTATCCGCCGACCCCTGCTTAGCCCTTGCCTAAGCGGGGCGGCGCCAGGGACACCGGAGGGTGGAACGGGTGGCAGTGCAAACGAAAGCCCCAGCATGCCACGTTAAGCAGCCACCCCCGCCTTCAAAGCCCTACTGCGTCGGCATCACTCCTGCACTGGCCAAACAAAGGCCGCAGCTTGGCTCAGAAAGCTTTTTCTCTGGGCTTCCGAAGGCAACGTTAGACACCCACGGGCCCCGCCCGCAAACGTTCCTGCAGGCCGCAGCTTGGCCCAGAAAGCTTTTTCTATAGACTTCCGAAGGCAACGTTAGACACCCACGGGCCCCAGGCCTGCCGCAGCCTCTCTGTGGCCTGTCCGAAGCCTGCCTCTTCTCTTCGCCCACGCGCGCCGCCCGCAAACGTTCCTGCAGGCCGCAGCTTAGCCCAGAAAGCTTTTTCTATGGGCTTCCGAAGGCGACGTTAGACACCCACGGGCCCCGCCCTCAAACCCTCCTCGGCAGCCGGCAGGCCTGCCGCGGCCTCTCTGTGGCCTGTCCG